GAGGTTGACCCTCTTGATCAGGATGACCTTCTGGATGAGGATGATATGATCGAGGTTTAGTCGGATGATGGCGACACCGCCCGATTTGTTGCCCGTGATCTTCCTATCCCCCAGGTTGATTCCTTGTCCCCTCAGGAGCCCGAGCAGATGGACTCCACCTCCTCCCCTGTTTCCCAATGTTGAGTGTTGCCTCTTGGAATACCCGTGGTCTCTGCAACCTCTCCCATCAGAGWGCTGTGAGAGATCTCGTTCGGGAATCCAATCTTCATATATGTGCTGCTCTTGAGTCGCGTGCTTCTGTGTCTTCTCTTCCTTCTATCTGTGAGCGTGTTTTTCGGTCTTGGACCTGGGCTTCTAATGGCTCCATGTGCCTTAGAGGAACTCGTATCATTGTTGCGTGGAACCCTGTCCATGTCGACATGATGCTCTTAAATGCCACCGATCAGGTGATGCATTTTCAGGTTAAGATCCGTGATTCCTCTAAGATTCTCTTTCTTTCTGTTGTTTATGCGGATAATTACCATATCGCCCGTCGCCAGTTATGGGCTTCTCTTAAGGGCCATAAGCATGTCGTTAAGGACACCCCATGGTTTATCATGGGAGATTTCAATGTTGCCCTTGACCCTAAGGACAGCTCTTCTGGCATATCGGGCCCAAATCGTGGTATGGATGATTTTCGTCAGTGTGCCCGACATCTTGAGGTGGAGGATGTCAATTACAAGGGTCTGTTCTTTACTTGGACTAAAAACCCCAATGGTACGAGAGGTCTTCTTAAAAATATTGACCGTGTCTTAGGCAATTCTCATTCCCTTTCCCGTTTCCCTTCTGCTTCTGTTGTCTTTCTTCCTTATCGGTCTTCGGATCATAGCCCGGCGGTTCTTACTCTTCCGGCTAGCTCTCCTCGTAAACCCAAACCCTTCAAGTTCCCCAATCTTCTTACGTATAAAGAGCCTTTTCTGAATGTTGTGTCCTCTCATTGGCACCCTGATCTTGTTGGTCGTGAGATGTATAAGATTTCTCAAAATCTTAAAAATCTCAAAGGGCCCCTCTGTAAGATGCTTAGTGATCAGGGTAATCTTCATTCTAAAGTTGCTAAGTTACGGCTTGAGCTTGACAGGGTCCAAATTGCGCTGGATAGGGATCCTGAAAATGGGGCCCTCCGAGAGGAACACTGTGGGTATTTATCTGCCTACAATAGTGCCTGCCTCGATGAGGAACGGTTCCTGAAGCAAAAAGCCAAGATCAATTGGCTCCGTGAAGGAGACCAAAATTCTTCTTTCTTTCATAAGTCTGTCAAGAGTCGTATCAGCAAGAATCGCATTGATACCATTCAAAATGCTGACGGTCTCTGGGTCTCTAATATTGAGGTCCCCAACCTCTTTGTCTCTCATTTTGAAAACTTCCTTGGTACTGCTCATCCCTCCCTTCCTATTCATAACCTTGCCTTCCTCTTCTCCAATAAGCTTAATGACAATCAAGCCGCCATGATGCTTGCTCCTGTTACTGACTCCGAAATCAAGCAGGCCCTTTTCCAGATGGGAGATGATAAAGCTCCGGGGCCTGACGGTTTCACCTCCAAATTTTTCAAAGCCGCTTGGAGTATTGTCGGTAGGGATGTGTGCTCCGCCGTTCGTGAATTCTTCAGGAATGGTGAGATCTTAAAGTCTATCAATAGCACCATTCTCGCCCTTATCCCCAAGACGGATGCCCCGTCTCATGTCACTGACTTTCGGCCTATCGCTTGCTGTAATGTCATTTATAAAATCATTAGCAAGATCATAGCTGATCGTATTAAGAATCACCTCTCCTCTCTGGTTGACCTCAACCAGTCTGCTTTTATCCCGGGTCGGCTCATTACTGATAATGTTCTTCTTGTTCAGGAGCTCATGCGCGGCTATCATAAGCATCGGGGCCCTCCCCGCTGTGCCTTTAAAGTTGATATCCAAAAGGCTTATGATACCGTTGATTGGCATNTGCCTTTAAAGTTGATATCCAAAAGGCTTATGATACCGTTGATTGGCATTTCCTTCGCACTGCCCTCTTCGGCTATGGTTTTCCCCTTACCATGATTAAATGGATTATGTCATGTGTTTCCACGGCCTCTTACTCGGTCAGTATTAATGGAAACCTCCATGGCTACTTCAAGGGTGGCCGTGGCCTTAGGCAGGGGGATCCTCTTTCCCCTTATCTCTTCACCCTGGTCATGGAGGTCCTCAACCTCTTGACCAAAAGAAAAATTCGTGAAACGGGCACCTTCTCCTATCACCGGAATTGTGAGGAGCAGAATATCACCCATCTCTGCTTTGCTGATGATCTCCTCATTTTCTGTCATGGTGATAGTGACTCTGCCCGGGTCATAAAGGAATCCCTTGATGAATTTTCGAGTGTGTCGGGTCTCTTTCCGAGTCCGGCCAAATGTGAAGCCTTCTATTGTAATGTTGGCCAGCACACCAAGGAGTCCATTCAATCTATCACCCAGTTTCCGGAGGGTTCCCTCCCTGTGCGTTATCTCGGTGTCCCTCTCATTACCACTCGTCTCTATCACAGGGACTGTAAGGGTCTTATTGACAAGGTCAACTCCAGGCTTAATGACTGGAAGAATAAGTCTCTCTCTTTTGCCGGTAGACTGCAGCTTATTCTCTCGGTCCTGTCCTCGATGCAGATCTATTGGGCCTCTATTTTTGTGCTTCCGATTTCCATATCTAAAGAGATTGAGAAGCTCATGCGGGGCTTTCTGTGGTGCCATGGTGAGCTTAAAAGGGGGAAAGCTAAGGTCTCCTGGAAGACTGTCTGCCTCCCCAAGTCTCAAGGCGGGCTGGGTATCAAGAGCCTTGCCACCTGGAATATTGCCCTTATGGCCTCCCACACATGGCGTCTCCTTACCAATAGGGACTCGCTCTGGGTTAAATGGATCCACTCCTACAGGCAGAAAGATCGTAACTTCTGGGATGCCCCGATACGCAGTGATGTGGGTTGGGGCTGTAGGAAGATCCTTGGGATGAGGGAAAAGATTAGAGACTTCATTGTCTCCCAGATTGGTGATGGCGCGTCCACGTCTGCCTGGTATGATAACTGGCATCCGGCTGGCCCTCTCTACCGGCTTATCTCCCCCCGTAATATTCTCAATTCCAATCTTTCTCTCTCTGCTTCTGTCAGAGATATTGTGTCCCAGGGCAATTGGACGTCTCCTCTCCTGAGGGACAATTCAAACCCTTCTMTYCGTGTCTCTCCCCTCCCCGTTCTTTCTTCGACCACCCCTGATAAGCTCCTCTGGAGAACTCGGGATGGCCGTCTTACTTCTTTCTCTGTCCGTGAGGTATGGCTCTCCCTTCGTCCAAATGAGCCTGATGTCTCCTGGCATCATATGGTCTGGTTCTCCCAAAGCATCCCTAGACATGCCTTCATTCTGTGGGTTGCTCTCAAGCAGCGTCTCAAGACGCACGATAAACTCCGGTTCTGGGAGGCCCATGCTGACCTGTCATGTGCTTTCTGTCAGAACGGGCCTGATTCGCATTCGCATCTTTTCTTTGAGTGCCCGTTCCCTAATATGGTCTGGAATGGCTTAAAAGCCAAGCTGAACCTCAACGGTATCCCGGATATCTGGGCTGATATTATCGGTTTGTTTCAGCAAGTCACCAAATGAAAGACCTTATGGTTTATCATACGTCGCTTAGTGCTTGCTGCGACCGTCTACCACCTGTGGCAAGAAAGAAATAACCGCATCTTCAAAAGCAAAAGAAGATCGCATTTTGCGGTGGGTAAGACTATTACTGATGATGTCCGTTCCAGGCTTCTTAGCCTGTCTTTCAAACCCTCCCTTAATGTTGACCGGACTCGGCTTGTTTGGAGCCTTCCTTAGCCGTCCTTTTCTTTGTGCTTTTTGTCTATTTGTGTGAGCTCTTCTGCTCTCCTGGTTTTTCTTGGTGTGGTCTAGGGTGTGCCTTTTTTTAGGCCCCTTTTCCTGCCCCTGTGGTGTCCCCCGTTGCTTCCCGGTCTTGGCTTGACCGGGCCCCTCCCTTGTGGTCGGCTTCTGTCTGTCTCTCTTCCTCTCTCTGTTTCTTTCTCCCTTTTTTCTTCCCTCTTCTCCTCTTCTCCCTTTCTTTCCCTTCTGGGTGCCTTGGTTTCTGGTGGATGTGGTTCGCCCCCACCCGAGTGCATATTTTGTTGTTTTAGTGTTTTTGCCTTGATCTGGAGGGGTCTCCCCCCTCCCTATAAAAAAAAAACCCTAAACCCTAAACCCCAAGGAATTTCATTTGCATGATTTTTTTCTCTCTCTACTTTCTCTCTAGCTTTTTGGTGTTTTTGTGATTTTTCTTGGTCTTTTTCGTTCCATGTCTGAAAACAAGCATCTAGTTGCTGAATCTATGCATAGGAAAACAAGGAAATCCCGTATGCCGATTCATCGTTTGAAGTTCTCCACTCCTCTTCCTAGTTCTCTTCAAGGTGTTGTTGAAAATTTTGAAGAAAATTGCAAGTTGAGAAGACTTAAAAAGGTTAGTCTTCATCGTTCTATCTCGAGTTATGTTGGCCCTTCTCTTAATGGGGTGGAATATGTTAATCTCCTCGATATTCCTCCCCCCCTCATAGCCACGGACGCACTGAAGTTTAATATTGGATGCAATGAGGGGGATGGTAGTGGAGAAGATGAGGTAGAAGACGAGAATGGAAACATTGTTCTTCCATCCATTCGTAAATTCTCTAGGCTGGAAAACTCTCAACCTGTGATTGTTCATGCTATTAACGACAATATTTTGAAAGATTACCGTCTTTCCAATCCTGTTAGTGAGGGTCTTGTTGCTTCTCTGTGTAATAACCAATCGGTCCCGTCCCAAAGTTCTTGCCTTCCTGAGTCGTTTAAAAAGCTGCAAGGTTGGGGAGGAATGCCGAAGGTCTTGCCGGAAATGGAATCTGCACAGTCGCCGGCGACAGCTGCTGGTCCTTCGTCTTGCCTCCCTCCTGCTTGTTTCAGTCACCCTATTGCTATTTCGGACAGAGCTATAGCCTTCTCCCATGGTGTTTCATTTCCTGGAAAAAACTCGATGAAGGGCCGTGAACAAGATGATCCAACGGTCGACTTTTCCACATGCAAACAGCCGAACTCGCCAGACTTTACCGTTGGAAATATCAGCTGCTCTGAAAATCGGGAAGACCTCCTGTCCTTCTTTACTTTTCAGTCGAAAAAAGTTGAGGGGTTAGTAGCTTCCACTATGCTAAAGTCTGACAAGGAAAAGAAAATTTTTAAAAATGGTGATGATGGTGAAGCTAAGCTGCAGGGTGAAGGACAAGGGTGGCAGGAAGGTTTAAATGCCCTTGGTACGGTTGGCATTTTAAAAGAGAGAGATATGCATGGCCCTTTGGATAATAGTTCTCAAAATAATATTTTTTATTTGGAGGATGGTACTTCTTGCAGAGGGGTAGGCATGGGTCCTATTGATAATAACCAAGAGTTGAATTTGGAAGTGGGCCCACGGACTATCTCTAGTACTTTTTTGGTTGAAGATGAACTAGATGCTCCTTTGGGTTGTGATCTAATTATGGAGGAATGTGCTGGCAATAGTGTTAGTTTGTATGCTTCTAAATCCCATGCTCCTTTGTTCGATTCTAGGTCCAGAGAGGAAGTCCATTTACAACATGATGTGGGCCTTATGGAAGTGGTGGGACGGAATGGATACGGTGCTAAAGAAAAAGAATTAGATGTTGGTGCTAGGCCCAAGGTTCCTTCTATTCTTGGACCTATACCTTCGGCCCAAGTTCTATTTAATTATCCAGGCCACTTCTCTTCTTCTAATTCGGCCCATCAGGATCAAGAGTCTAATGCTTCTTCTATTCTTGGGAAAGGCCCAAGCCCAGGTATGGTCCAATTTACTGCTTCCCCCCCTCAACTTTCTAACTCTTCTCACATCCCCCCCCTTGACGTTTCTGTTTCATCCCCCCATATTTTGCATGCTCCCACTCCCTCTTTATCTTTGCATGTTAATTCTACTCCTATCCTTGTTGGCGCAAAGGAAAAGATGGTTTTTKTTTCTAATGATAAAAATCCGAAAGTTAGTCATAWTTCCAAAGGTTTGCTTATTGACCCAATTGWTAAAAATAATTTTTCTTCGGTTTGGAAGGGCAAAAATAATGRTATTCTCCCTAAATCTTTTGCGAATGTTTTAAGCGGATCCCAAAAGCACTCTAATGCTAATTTTAAATTTATCCCCAACCTTAGTGATGATTTGGATACTCCGGTTGATATCCCATTGTCGGTGGTCCAAAAAAGTTGTCTCACTTACGCTAAAACTTTGTGCGGTTATTTTGTTGGCAAAGGCCTTCCATTCMCGGTGGTTAGATTCTTTGCTTCTAAATTATGGTCTCAATTTGGTTTAGAAGATGTGCTTCTCAATGGCCATGRCATCTATATGTTTAAATTCAATGATGATAAYGGYATCCAAAAGGTGAYTGATAATGGACCTTGGACCATTAAAAATGTTCCTATTTTTGTCCAARAATGGAGACCCGGCCTTAATCTAAATTCTAAAAAACATGTTAGCATTCCTCTTTGGGTTAAAATTCATGACATCCCTTATGATGCTTGGAATGACGARGGGCTTAGTCATATAGCTAGTAAAATTGGAAAACCTCTTGCCATGGATTCGTGGACGGCCAACATGTGTACTTATGCGGYGGGGAAATCCGCTTTTGCCCGGGTTCTTCTTGAAGTTCYCATTAGGCATTCTTGGTTAGAAACTGTTAATGTTCGTATCCCGGATCCGGACACCGGTACTATGACCCTTCACTCCCTTAGGGTTGAATATGATTGGAAGCCCCCTATGTGCTCTCATTGCAATATTTTTGGGCATTCCGACTCTATTTGCTTGCATGTTATTTCTCTTAATCCTGTCAAGAATGTCACCTCTTCTGAGAATGCCTCGTGTGAAAAACAGTCTTTAGTTGACAGTGAAGGTTTTCAAACCATGAAGAGCAAAAGCTCTCAGCGTGGTAAAGGGATCATTTTGAGCGGACATGGGGAATCCATAAAGGACACCCACTCTCCTTTGGTGAGTGGAAAGAATGTAAAAGTCTCGACTAAGTCTAAAGCGATGGCTTATCCTCGCAAGGAATTCCGACCCGTTCAAAAATGGGCTCGGCCCTCTCCTAGCTCCCCCCCAAAGGTTACGCCCCCCCAAAAGGGTTCCTCCTCCATCCCTAGACCCTCTTCCCCCCCTAGGCCCCCTATCCTTAGCCATCTTTCCCCCAAACCCTCAAACCCTTCTTCACCTTCCCGCAAAGTTTCCAAGGCTCCCATTCCTTCTTCCAACCGTTTCTCTGTCTTGTCTGACCCGTMTCTTCCTAGAGAYCCTAGGTCCTCCTCCTCTCCCCCTCCCCCCTCCTCTGCTCCTCTTGTGTACGAGGATGATCTCCATGATCAGGATGACCTCCTTGATGAGGATGAGCTGATTGAGGTTGAGTCGGACGATGGTGACACCGCCCGATTCCTTACCGATGACATCTCCCATACCCAGGTTGATCCGATGACTTCTCAGGAGCCCGAGCAGATGGACTCTACCCCCTCCCCAGTTTCCCAATGACGAGCTGTGCCTCGTGGAATACTCGGGGTCTCTGCAATCTCTCTCACCAGAGAGCTTTTAGAGATCTCATTCGTGTGTCTAATCTCCAAATATGTGCGGCTCTTGAGTCTCGCGCCCTTGTCTCTAATCTTCCTCCCATCTGTGAGAAAGTCTTTGGATCTTGGTCTTGGACCTCTAATGGCACTCTTTGCTCTAGAGGAACTCGTATCATTGTTGCTTGGAACCCTGACCATGTTGACATGATGCTCTTAAATGCCACCGAYCAGGTGATGCACTTTCAGGCTAAGATCCGGGATTCCTCTAAGAYTCTCTTCKTGTCTTYTGTGTATGCKGACAATTACCATATCGCCCGTCGTCAGTTATGGGCTTCTCTAAAGGGTCATAAGCATGTCGTCAAGGACGCCCCATGGTTCATCATGGGAGATTTCAATGCTGCCCTTGACCCTAAGGACAGCTCTTCTGGCTTTTCGGGCCCCTCTCGTGGTATGGATGATTTCCGTGAGTGTGTCCGTAACCTTGAGGTTGAGGATATCAACTTCAAAGGTCTCTTCTTTACCTGGTCTAAGAGCCCCAATGGCACGGGAGGTCTCCTCAAGAAGATCGACCGAGTCTTAGGGAATTCCCAGTCCCTCGCTCATTTCCCTTCGGCTTCTGTCATCTTTCTTCCTTACCGGTCTTCGGACCATTTCCCTGCGGTCCTTACCCTTCCCTCCCGGTCCCCTTGGAAGCCTAAACCTTTCAAGTTCCCTAATTTTATTGCCCATAAAGAGGCTTTCAATTCTGTCGTTGCCTCGAGCTGGAACCCTGACCTGTCTGGTTATGAGATGTATAAGGTTTTCCTCAACCTTAAAAATCTCAAAGGCCCTATCTGTAAGCTCCTCAAAGATCAGGGTAACCTKTTCTCTAATGTCTCTAGAATCCGGCTTGAGCTTGACAGGGTCCAGATTGCCCTTGATAGGGACCCTGAAAAAGTGGACCTCCGAGAGGAGCACTGTGGGTATTTATCTGCCTATAATTGTGCCTGCCTTGATGAGGAAAGGTTCCTGAAGCAAAAAGCCAAAATCCAATGGCT